TACAACATGCCACACCCGAATAGAAAAGTGAGAGGACATGCATGAAGCGGCCTACAACACGACAACTAAAAAACCAACTCAACCAACAAAACTCCACTGCCATAAGGCCTAGAGATAAACCAACAACAAGCACAAACATACCCAAAGGAAAACAAAGAAGCAGGCAATCAAAACAAACAAGAGGAACTAGAAGCTAAACAGTACAAGATGTGATCAAGATGTGATCAGGAAGTGATTGCTTTTGAAAAATCCAGAGATTACGGCATTTTCACAACCACCAAAAAAAATAGGTTGTAAGGTGAATACGAGCCCCACCGGTGTTTGAAAGAGCCTGCAGACTGAAGATTCTCCCAATTGACTGGCGAAATATCCCATACTCTAACTGCTATGGGGCAATGAAAAAGAATGTGTTCTACTGTTTCAGGACATTCCCCACAGCCTTGGCAAGTAGTATCCACATCCAGGCTCCTTCTATGCAAGTTATATTTGATAGGTAGAGAACCATTTATGCATTTCCAAACAAAATGTTTAAGCTTACCAGGGATATTCAGCTTCCAAAATCTAAAGAGGGCAAGGTTGCTTTTGTGGTTGCTGTTACAAGGTAGGTCCAGCTTGATGAGCTTCTGTTTGGACAAGAACGAATAAGTACTGGCAACCGAAAACACTCCCTTCTTGTCAAATTTACAGTATTTCCTATCTAAACAACCTAGTTTTAGAGTAGAGATACTGAAAATGGCCTTGCTGTCATTGTAACGCCCAGAATATTAGTTTCTATTTATGGAGCTTGACTTTATTTCCATAAATAGTCAGTTTCCTAATTTGATGCATTTATTATATTAATTTGCATTAAATTGAATCATTAGTATTAAAATCTAAGCCATAGAGAATTTATTCGATTTTAACTCTTAGAGTCAGACTTATTTAGCCCAAGTATCGGTTATATTTTATTAACCGAGACTTGGAATGATCGAAAAATCTTATTAAAGCGGATCGAAGCCGAATAATTAATTTATTCGACCGAATCAAATTATCTTAACCGGCCCATTTTAGTAAATCGAGCACATGTTTGATTTAATTTTAGTCCATTTTAAAAATCGACCCTATAGTCGATTTTTAAATTCGAGCCCAATTTTCTAGTAAATTCAACCGACTAATTTAATTAGTCTAAGTCTGGTAAATTTTATTAACCGAGCATTTAATTCCTTAGTCAATGTTCGATTTAATCGAACCCAAATCATATTAAATTCGCTAGCCCGATTGTGTTTAATTGTAAAAGCCCAATGTGAGGCCCAATAAGCAACTCAAACCCTAATTTTCCACCTACTATAAATACACCACACAACCTCATTACAAACCCTAGCCCACATTCCATCTCTAACTACATCCATCTTCATCCCACAAAATCCGGCCAGATTTTCGGCGGAGTCACCTTCTCCGGCGAGCCAACACCAAGCCGGCGACCGAACCACCACAGTCCCGTCACGCGAGCCCACCGTCGTAGCTGTTCGTGCCCCTTTTCTCATGCATTTGATTCGCAGCTGTCCTCAGCCGTCCGACGAAGCACCGGCATTGCAGCTCCGACCAGTCGCAGCTGTCTTCTCCCGTCGCCGCTCCGTTCACATCCGGCAGCTCCGCCCGAACATGTGCTCAGCCTGCTGCACCATCCCACGTCGAGCTCGCAGCCCCGCCATGGTCCTCGAGCTTCCATTTCTGGCGAATTTACAGCTCAACCTCGACACTGGCAACCTCGGCTCTCGTCATTCCGGTCGACGCCATCTCCGACGAGTTCTGCCCGCCTTACCATCGCGAGCTCAGCCTCACACCTGCACCAGCTCCGGCGAACCAAAACAGCTGCCGTCCAGCTCATCTTAACCGGTTCCGTCGCAGCTAGCTCATCTGTCGGTCCCAGCATCTCCGGTTGACCTTGTTCAGACCACCCCTGCACCCAACCCGACGTCCCAACTCCGTTCCAACCGAATCGCGACCGAGTTCGTTGTGCACCACCTCTGTCCAGGTGACTGGAGCCACGACCAAGCTCAGACCTATGAGGAGCCGCCTCCACGCGCGTCAAAACGGCTCCAGCGACCCGATTCGCGCCTGAACCGGCCCAACTAACCTCCAACTCGCCCCGACTCGCCTGACTCAGCGAGTCAACTTATTCGACTCGCCCCCAGCTCGGCCCAGTCAACTCGGACAGAGTTGACCCATTTTACTTTCCCTCCGGTTCAACCCGTTTGAGCAACATGTATCCAGTTCTGCTCCTCTGAGCCATTTTCCCTAGCTCTCTCGACTTTTCAACCTTCGATTCGAGCCCGGTTGAAGGTAGTTTGGCTTGAATTCTTCTTCAAATGGCCTAGTTATGATTGATGGATAATTATAAAATGATAATTTGAGGATTTGAGTGTTTGTTAGATTTATTTGGAATTTCGAGCTTGAAGCGATTTTATCGAGCTTTTGATACAAAAGTGATAAAAATGATAATTTAAATTTGGTAAATCATAATAAATTGTCTTGAGGATTTGGAGTTCGTTTGGTATACGAACATGTCGTTTGAATGGATTGACCGGTTGAAGCGATTACTAGTTGAATGGATTATTAGTTGACTTTGGACTTGATGATATTTTGACCTTAGATCACTTATATATATTGAGGATGTTATATTTCAAATTTCGTGAATTTTAGATATCGTTTGACTTAGATTAAAAATCGAGACTTTAGCCGTTAACGCGATAAGAATATTAGTCCGATTGAGATTTTTGTTGCAGTTGTGGATTATAAATTCATTATAAATCACATAGAAATTATATTTTTAATAAAGGCCTTAAATGAGTTAGGAGTTTCGAGAATCAAAACCCTAATTTTATCTGGTTCCGATAACTAGGTATTTTACCGGATCTGAATATAATTGACCGAACCCTAGTACCTTTTAAATAATTTTTAGACGTCGTAACAAAAATTCTTAACGCGTATCATCGTCTCGCGCGCACGTGCTCGACTCTCGTCCGACTGTTGGAGCCGAACCACCGAGTGCGTGCCCGTGCACCGAGTCCAAGTCAAACCACCGAGTGCGTGCCCGTGCACCGAGTCCATCCGTCTACTGTCTAGTCTGGACGGTTCGAGAAATTTCAGATAGAATTTGAGAGATAGAATTTTAGATATATATTTCATTTCAGAATTTCAGATATATATTTCAGATAAACTTAAGTCTAGTTAGATTATAGCCCAGTCAGATTTAATTTCAGTCAGATCTTAGTTCGAGACATAGAAATATTTCAGAGAACTCTAGAATGCCTCAAAGACAACAATAGTTTCAAAATCAGCTCGTAATCCCTAAACTGATTTTTAAAGCAGAGTAAGCGAACCTAGACAATAAGATATTAAAAATTTGAGTTTTATTATGAGCCCAGTACTTAGAATATTTTGCTCAATATATTTTGTAGCTTGAGCAGAGTCGAGCCTCTGTCAGCTACCCATTTCAACATTTTCAGCATTTGAATTCGCCATTTTCCAGGTACGGACCATGTACAATGTATTTCATCGCTTTTAATAATTTACCATGTCTGAAGTCTATATGTGATTAAATTGAGGGACCGAGACGGATGAGTGATCCCGTCTTGGTCAAGATGTCAGATGTCAGTTATGACTTAGATGAGTGGGCGATGCCCAGCCTAAGTCTAGAGTCCAGATGAGTGGGCGATGCCCAGCCTGAATTTCTGTGGAAGGGGACCCTCAGAGTGTGCACATGTGTACCGGTTTACCGTTAGTCCCATAGTCAGACCAGTTTATTCATATATATGTTGATTTCATAGTTTGTTATTAATTGTGCTAAATATTCAGTGTCGGTCTCGATGGAGCACCTTTGATTCATTTGTGCTCACGCCTCCCCACTACCCATTTCAGGTGATGGAGTCCCGTGTGATGCGTGAGTAGATATTTGGTGTTGGTCCAGCTTCAGGACATTTTTGTGAAAAAATATCATATAGTATTTGAACATGTTTGAATTATCTATGTTTGTTTCATGCTTGTGTGTTTTTATGAACTTGTACTTGCTTTCGCATGTTAGACTTGTGTTTCAGATGTCAGATTTCAGACTAGTATTTCAGATGTCAGATTATGTCAGATTTTCAGAATATGCATGTTTAATCTGGTATTATTCATGACCTTAATTCTAGAATGGATTTTACTTGATCGCATGCATGTTAGATTAAAGAGATGAAGATATGAGATTAAAGTTGAGTAGCATCCAGCGTTTTAAAGTTAAAGTATTTTTGAAAAAATTAATATGAGTTTTCGAAAATTAAATCAGTGCTTTCCATTTATAGCGCGAAAAATTTACTTTGATTTTAGTAAGTCTAGGCGGGGTGTTACAGTCATTATCATTGAAGAGTTGCTTAACCAACCAGTCATTCCATCATAGTCCCGTGTCATTTAGCAGCTCCTTTAGGGATGAAAACGATCGGAAACGATCGGCATAGGGCTCAACCATTTCCACTTTCATATTTTTTTCTCGAAAACGAATATGATATGATAATGTCGGAAACGAAAACGATATCGGTATTCCGGTAATATCAAAAACGAAACTATCCGGTCGAAAATACATCGATAACGATCGGAATATATTAAAACGGTATTTAAAAAACGATAAACACACCACATTATAAAATATAGCATTAAAACATTAATTGAAATATTCTCATGGCATAATAGTAGCAAAATCCAAATTAAAATCCACACCATTTGCTATAACAAAATCCATACAAATTCCAATAACTAGCAATTGAATTGTGACTTGTCCACCAAATTCTCATGGAATAATAGTAGCAATTGAAATTTGAAATATGAAATGAGAGCAATTAGGTGAGAAATCAACCATAGAACCACCAAATCCACAAAAAAACCACAACAAACGAAACCCAGAATTCAAAACACAAATCACTAAAACAATGATGGGAGTTAAACATAATATATAAACTTGTCCTTCACAGCAAGTTGTCGTCTGCCTACAACTGAATCTCAGGCAAATCATCATTATCAATTGCCACATCGTCATCACGTCCCATTTCTGAGAATTCATCCTACAATTTGTAATGGAAAAATAATTTAACACTCATACAAATATTCCACGAAAAGAATAATAAAAAGGCCTGAAAAGAATTGAAATCATTATCTTCACACTAGAACTATATGAAAAGAGATGATGCAATATTTGTAAATTGTAAAATAAATTCAAATCATAATTCCTCTAACTCATATCTTCATTTTCCTTGCGTGCAAAATATTTACTTGACTCTTCATTCTTGTGAACTATTGAAACAACACTGAAATTTGTCAGCATATTCTATTATTATTGACAACATATTTAAAATTATTAATATTGCAACTCAAGAAAGAAAGAAGGAACCTCAAACATTAGATTATTCTTAATGGCTTCAAGAACATCAAGGTCACCAGGCAGCGAAGAAACATTCTTAGAACCTGAAAATAAAAAAATTTAAAACCAATTGCTTAGTGAATATAACTTTGTAATCTAAAACCAACAATCAATTTGAAATTTTACCTTTTCTAGTAGCTATTATCCAGTCCTTAGTGCAAACAAGAGCTTGTACCATGTCAGGATCAAGTCGGCTGCGATATGGATCAATGACACGACCACCAGCACTAAATGCAGATTCAGATGCAACGGTTGAAACTTGAATTGTCAACACATCACGAGTAAGTCGGGACAGGACAGGATACTCTTCCTTATGAGATTTCCACCATGCTAAAATGTCAAACATGTTCTGGTTGGCTTTAGTGGTCTTCAATGGTGGTTCTGCTAAGTACCTTTCCAATTCACTGAACTCTCCATCAGCATCATATGAGTCACTTTCAAATAGGTAGTTATCAAGCTCATCATCTATGTTGTTGCTTCCCATAAATAGATCTGCCAATGGTTCTTCATCTTCTTTATTGCTCTTTGAAGAAGAAGGTGCAGCAGAAACATAGCATTGAAACATCTTCCTTAGGATACCATTGAATTTTTCAAGTTCAGCTTGGTAGGAATTATTATAGAACTTTCGCAAGTAAAATTCTACAATTCTTCTCTTGAACCTAGGATCAAGAACATTTGCTACAGCAAGTGCAATATTAGACTTCTTCCAGTACTTATCAAACTTGACACTCATAGCATTTGCCATTCCACAAATAGTGGTATCCTTACTAATGCACCAATCAGCTAGCAATATCTTAATCTCACAAAAGCCTCTAAAAAATAGGTTCGCCGTTGGATAGGTAGTACCAGAGAATATCTCAGTAAGCTCAAAGAATTTTTTCAAGAAGGGAATCAAAATTTGTGCCTTATCCCATTCATGATATGAAGGAGCAATACTACCATACCTGTGGCGGTCAATGGAAGTCAACCTCGCAAAAGCAGTCCTATAATATAGAGCATCCCTCAACATTAGATATGTTGAATTCCACCTTGTAGAAACATCAAGTGACAGAGAAGGCTTTGTGTCTAACCCACATTCAACAGCACACTTTTGGAACTCCTCCCACTGTAATGTAGACCCCTTAACAGCAAGTACAAATGCCCTAATCTTTTCAGTTACATCAGAAATCACACGCATACCATCTCTAACAACCAAATTCATGATGTGATTAGCACATCTCACATGAAAAAATAGCCCATCACATACTAAATTGCTATGCTTCTTGAGCTCTATAATTAGATCCTTAACAGCAACCTCATTTGCAGAAGCATTATCCAAAGTCAAAGAGAACATCTTTTTCTCAACATACCATTTTAAAAGACAAGAACTAACCGTATAAGACAACCTCTCACCGGTGTGTCGCCCTTCAACATGGAGGAAATTGATAATCCTCTTCTGAATTTTCCAATCATCATCAACCCAATGAAGGGTGACACACATATAACCCTTATTCTGGTTGGATGTCCACATATCCATCGTTGCACTAAACCGGCTTTGAATGGTTTTGAAGTGTTCATACAACTTATCTCTTTCAGCCGAATAACACTCCATGATTTCCTTTCTAACAGTGACACGAGACTTGAGAGGATAATTTGGACGCATGGATTTGACCCATTCTTGAAAAAACTCATGCTCAACCATGTTGAAAGGATACTCATGAACAATCATTGCCTCATAGAACTTCCTCAAGCTAGCTTCTTGATCATATTTATAGGATTGGACTGTTGCAATGCCTGTCTCATTATTTTTTTTTTGTTGTGAGCTGCTGTTGTCCTTTCTTTATACTGTGGTAATTAGCAAGATGTGTCCAAAAAGCAGTTGTTCCAAAATTGCTCTCAGCTCTATGCTTGCTAGTC